GTCTTTGAAATGGCGCCCCCCCCCCCCCTTTTTAAAAGCGCCCCCCCCCCAAAGGTAAATAAATAAACAAATTGGACAGGTATGTTGAGCTTCTTACCAGTTACTATCCCATTAGATTTTCTATTTTGGTGCCACAAAATTGATATAGAAAAACAGTTAAATCAACGTGAAACGCCTTGAAGTCGTTTATTTTCGTAACTTTGACTGTATATAATTTAATACTTCAGCTTAAAATTAGCTTTTTAATTAATTTTTATCTAACCCTTTTGGCACCCCCTTAGGGTCGGCGCCCGGGGGAGTCACCCCACCCTCCCTCCCCTAGCTACGCCACTGAATGTACACACTTCTGGCGAGCCAACAACCCCCGCCAATGAGTCACAGGTGTATTATCAAACCGCCCACGGGATAATCCTAAGCCACTAGCCTACGACGCCTAGAACATTCTTTTTTTTTTAAGAATTTTTTTTTTTTTAAGTTGGGTGTAAATTAGTTTTCACAAAATCCAATGTCATCTCTGAAAGATGGTAGCATATCAATCAGCATTAGAACCGTCTAGAAAATGTGTCATTTGACACCAGCCGTCTGACATCTAATGGAGGCGAGTGATGATATATCAAGTGACACTCATCTACCCAAACAGTGACACGTCAGTTTTCTGACAAATGGCGAGCCGAATCTTTGATCACATGTCTTATCTAGTCTAAGAGGTAGAAACTGAGATAAACGTAAATAAAAGATGAAGTGGGAGATTTTATTCGAGTTATAAGACATGGGGAATGAGGAAGTAGGATTTCAACAATCGCATTATGGTGTGGTGTTTGGAATGGTGTACGGTATTATGTTGTATGGTGTGTGATGTGTTGTGTGGTGTGGTTTGTTGTATTGTGTGCTACAAAACATATGGTGTGGTGTGTTGTACTGTATAGTGTGTGGTGTGTGGTAATAGTCTGGTGTGTGGTGATAGTGTGGTGTGTGTGGTGATGGTGTGGTGTGGTGTGTGGTAATAGTGTGGTGTGTGGTGATGGTGTGGTGTGGGTGTGGTGATGGTGTGGTGTGTGGTAATTATGAGCAGTGAGTTAGAGGTGTAGTTTGGTTGTAGAGCAACAAAGATGAGATTTGACAAGGTGGGATGTAATATAAAAAAAGGGAAGTAGAGCAATGGATGAGACAAACAAACCTGATTCATTATTTAAAGCTTTTCAAATTGAACACGGTTTTAGTGACAAGTGTTGCATGCTTACACAGCGACGGTTAATGCGATTATCTAACACCAGGGCCTCCCACGTGTTTTGGTATTACATCTGACCAGAGAGCCAGATATTGACAGATAACTTGTAACAGGCTAGCACAGGACACCATCAAGGTGACAAGAGTGGGAACCTCTGACATGTAAATATGACACACAGATGCTCCTGAACAGAACCTCAGACATGTAAATATGACACACAGATGCTCCTGAACAGAACCTCAGACATGTAAATATGACACACATTAGATGCTCCTGAACAGAACCTCAGACATGTAAATATGACACACATTAGATGCCCCTGTACAGAACTCCCAGACATGTAAATATGACACACATCGGATGCTCCTGTACAGAACCTCTGACATGTAAATATGACACACATTGGATGCTCCTATACAGAACCTCTGACATGTAAATATGACACACATCGGATGCTCCTGTACAGAATCTCTGACATGTAAATATGACACACATTGGATGCTCCTATACATAACTCCCAGACATGTAAATATGACACACATTGGATGCTCCTATACAGAACCTCTGACATGTAAATATGACACACATTAGATGCTCCTGTACATAACTCCCAGACATGTAAATATGACACACATTGGATGCTCCTATACAGAACCTCAGACATGTAAATATGACACACATTAGATGCTCCTGTACATAACTCCCAGACATGTAAATATGACACACATTGGATGCTCCCGTACAGAACCTCAGACATGTAAATATGACACACACTGGATGCTCCTATACAGAACCTCAGACATGTAAATATGACACACATTAGATGCTCCTGTACATAACTCCCAGACATGTAAATATGACACACATTGGATGCTCCTATACAGAACCTCAGACATGTAAATATGACACACATTAGATGCTCCTGTACATAACTCCCAGACATGTAAATATGACACACACTGGATGCTCCTATACAGAACCTCAGACATGTAAATATGAAAGACGTGGGTTAGATCTTCCTGCACTGCCGCTGACAGCTTTACTCTGCGGGGTTTTGTGTCAGATGTAAGAAGCGAGCTGTCAGTAGTGTCACGACGAGCTGTCAGTAGTGTCACGACGAGCTGTCAGTAATGTCACGACGAGCTGTCAGTAGTGTCACGACGAGCTGTCAGTAGTGTCACGACGAGCTGTCAGTAGTGTCACGACGAGCTGTCAGTAGTGTCACGACGAGCTGTCAGTAGTGTCACGACGAGCTGTCAGTAATGTCACGACGAGCTGTCAGTAGTGTCACGACGAGCTGTCAGTAGTGTCACGACGAGCTGTCAGTAGTGTCACGACGCGTGCCAGATGTGACACTAGCATGCTGACCACGGGCTGTGAGTCCTTGAGGCGATTAGGTCTAGAAACAGGACATCTGTGTCTGACCCCAGCACGTGTGTCTGACCCCATCTGATCCCAGCATGTGTGTGAATTACATCAGCACGTGCGGGTGATTACCACGAGCCCGTGTGCTCAATACTTGCGTGAGCGGCTTTTGACGCTCTGAGACTCACGTGAAAATAAACTAAAGATTTACTGAAACTTTGTATCCTGGCGGAGAGTCTAAAACTACACTGCCGTGAAAAAAATGTTTAATGACTACATGTAGACAGTAGCACCAAGTTGACTACATGTAGACAGTAGCACCAAGTTGACTACATGTAGACAGTAGCACCAAGTTGACTACATGTAGACAGTAGCACCAAGTCACAAAAAGTTCGCTCACTGTGAAAGACTTGAGACATACCAGGACACTAAGATTGAACCACCAGGGTGCTACCAATTTAAAAATTCTAAAATTAAAACCATTCTTGTGGCATCAGGGTAAAATGTGTGGCAACAGTACGTCAGCACTGGCCATTTTTTATCCAACTCATCAAATTCTCTCCTTAAATCGATGCGTTCATTCTGCCCAGATTTTTCTTTAATGAATCAAAGAAAAATAACTCTTGCATGAAAACGTAAGGGAGGCCACTCAAGAATTGTTGTAATCTGTGTTTTTTTAACTTGTGATACAAGAGCCAGACACGACTTTATATTTGACAAATCACCCCAACAAGATTCTCAGACTTGCGGGAAATTTAGAATTTAGAGGAGTTTTAGGTGATATTTTAGAGGAGTTTTAGGTGAGATTTTAGAGGAGTTTTAGGTGAGATTTTAGAGGAGTTTTAGGTGAGATTTTAGAGGAGTTTTAGGTGATATTTTAGAGGAGTTTTAGGTGATATTTTAGAGGAGTTTTAGGTGAGATTTTAGAGGAGTTTTAGGTGAGATTTTAGAGGAGTTTTAGGTGAGATTTTAGAGGAGTTTTAGGTGAGATTTTAGAGGAGTTTTAGGTGAGATTTTAGAGGAGTTTTAGGTGAGATTTTAGAGGAGTTTTAGGTGAGATTTTAGAGGAGTTTTAGGTGAGATTTTAGAGGAGTTTTAGGTGAGATTTTAGAGGAGTTTTAGGTGATATTTTAGAGAGGAGAGTTGGATACAGTTTTAGTATTTTTAGCTAGGGGCTTTATACAAGATTTAAGATAAGAATTTGAGAAGTTTTAGAGAAATGTTTTTACTTGAAATAGACAGGCGTCAGTCACAAATCACATCAAGTTGTCACAAATCACATCAAGTTGTCACAAATCACATCAAGTTGTCACAAATCACATCAAGTTGTCACAATCACATCAAGTTGTCACAAATCACATCAAGTTGTCACAAATCACATCAAGTTGTCACAAATCACATCATGTAGTCACAAACCACATAAAGTTGTTACAAATCACTTGTCACAAATCACATCAACTTGTCACAAATCACATCAAGTTGTCACAAATCACATCAAGTTGTCACAAATCACATCAAGTTGTCACAAATCACGTCATGTAGTCACAAACCACATAAAGTTGTTACAAATCACTTGTCACAAATCACATCAACTTGTCACAAATCACATCAAGTTGTCACAAATCACATCATGTAGTCACAAACCACATAAAGATGTTACAAATCACATGTCACAAATCACATCAAGTTGTCACAAATCACATCAAGTTGTCACAAACCACATCACATCAAGTTGTCACAAATCACATCAAGTTGTTACAAATCACTTCACATCAACTTGTCACAAATCACATCAAGTTGTCACAATGTCACAAATCACATCAAGTTGTCACAAATCACATGAAGTTGTCACAAATCACATCAAGTTGTCACAAAAATCACATCAAGTTGTCACAAACCACATCACATCAAGTTGTCACAAACCACATCACATCAAGTTGTCACAAATCACATCAAGTTGTCACAAATCACATCAAGTTGTCACAAATCACATCAAGTTGTCACAAATCACACCAAGTTGTCACAAATCACACCAAGTTGTCACAAATCACATCAACTTGTCACAAATCACATCAAGTTGTCACAACTCACATCAAGTTGTCACAAATCACATCAACTTGTCACAAATCTCATCAAGTTGTCACAAATACATCAAGTTGTCACAAATCACATCAAGTTGTCACAAATCGAGTTGTCACAAATCACATCAAGTTGTCACAAATACATCAAGTTGTCACAAATCACATCAAGTTGTCACAAATCACATCAAGTTGTCACAAATCACATCAAGTTGTCACAAATCATGTTGTCACAAATCACATCAAGTTGTCACAAATCACATCAAGTTGTCACAAATCACATCAACTTGTCACAAATCACATCAAGTTGTCACAAATCACAGACTTACCTGGTAGAAGTAGAACACGCTCTCCCTGGTGGTGTTGGGTGTCACCGTTGTCATGGTAACCTCCCCCACAAGCCCCTCCTCCATGTTGGCTGGTTCTCGCGGCAGACGTCTGTCACGGCCGTGTAAACAAAACAAACATTAATGGCGGCACAAAATTAATGGCGGCACAAAATTAATGGCGGCACAAAATTAATGGCGGCACAAAATTAATGGCGGCACAAAATTAATGGCGGCACAAAATTAATGGCGGCATAAAATTAATGGCGGCATAAAATTAATGGCGGCACAAAATTAATGGCAGCACAAAATTAATGGCGGCACAAAATTAATGGCAGCACAAAATTAATGGCGGCACAAAATTAATGGCGGCACAAAATTAATGTCAGACGGAAATTAAAGTTGTGTGCAGCGATGGCTAGATAAAGTGGTGTAGACTTGGAGGAGGGGGGGGGGCAGCACGAGAGGTAGGCTTCGATAAATGTCCTGTTGTGTGTTTGTTTTTTTAAAGTTTGAGATCTCGTGGTAATTGGGGCTGCAGATATTGTTGTAATGGCCGAATAGGAAAATGCCCAATTATATATTGCTTAACGATTTTCAAAATGTAAAATTGGTGTTTATATGACATTAAAAATCCTAATATATAAAAGCCCATGTAAGCACCTCTCTCTTTCTCTCTCTCTCTCTCTCTCTCCCTGTAACGTATTTACCGAGGCTATTAGATCAATATCTTCAGAAATGTATGGTCAATTTAAAGATACGGACTTTTGTTGTAAATAATAGGGTGGATCTATTAAACGTATCAAATGAATTCTATTTAAAGACGGCAAATAAAAGTTAAGGCATATTTGAATGTAGTAACACCATAATTTTTAATTTTGCAACCGGAGAAGTGTTTATGGTTGTGACAAGAATGCAGTAGAGAATATATATGTAGCACAAAAACTATCACTAGCAAAAAGAATGACGTTACATGAAACAATTAGAAAAATATATTTACGAAACAATGTTAATAACATGTTTAAACTACGGAAAGTACACAACACTAATGGAGTCATTGATTGTAGGATAAAAATAGAATGAAACCTCGAATCTCGTAAATGATACACAATATTAATGACGTCATCTTCGATAAAATTTGCCTCCCACATCTTCCAATTTTAGAAGATGAAGAAATGAAGAAATGAAGAAATGAATTTTTTCATTCAGATTTGATTTAGATCTATAGATATATTTATCAAGATGTACGCTACAAAATGTACACAAATTACTCGCCAAAAATTAATAAAAATAAATTAGTTGAAAAACAACATGAATACCTTTGAAAAGCTGGGTTTTTAACGGAATCATTTAAGTCAGTGTGAGCATTTAATATGGAGTTGTGTTGACTAATAATGGATAGATTTTGTTTTAAATGTGTCGGATTTTTATTTTCTTGCTTTGTCACTAATATCGTTCAACGTGTAGTAAAGCACATAGCGTTTTGACCAATAACTATTTTATGAAATATTTTTCTCAAACAGGACAGGTATAACATTTTTAAATGTTGGCCTCTAATTCACGTGTAAATGGTACCCATGGTAGTGCACCGTCACCAAAAGTCGGACAACAAGAAAGATTTTTTTTGTAACCTCTAATGCTTGTGTGCCTCATTTCGCGCATGGCTGAAGATAGAAACACGTAACTCAGTGAAATCAGTGGCGGCCACATATCGCAAATACGCGAAATGAGAATGATAATTCTCCATAGTGTACGGGAGGGAGAGGTGTGTTTCTAACCAACTTAGCACCCCTGTCTATAGGGCTTGTAAGTCTACGGTCTCGAAATCTACTAGCAAGTACTAGAACGAGAAGTTGTGACCTACTTACAAGCTCTATAGCACTGATCTTACAGCCCATGGTTAAATGTGAACTGATATTTCAGTTGATCAGTTTATTGTACATGTGTATTTAGCAGGCTGGTATACATGAAGGTAGGGGTTCTCTTGTTCTGTTACCTGGGGGGGGGGGGGGGGGTCGAGGGAGAGTGGGGATTTATTCGGGCGGGGGGGGGGGGGTATCATGTTTAAATAACTTTATCAGCTCGGCATGGTTGGTAATTCAATCACTCACTAGCTCACTCACTCACACACTCACTCACTCGCTCGCTCAAACACTCACACACTCGCACACTCACTCACACACACTCACTCACTCACTCACTCACACACTCACTCACTCGCTCGCTCACTCACTCACTCACTTACACACTCACACACACTCACTCACACACACACTCTCACTCACACACACTCACTCACACACACTCATACACTCACTCACACATACTCATTCCCACACTCGTCCCCACACTCACTCACACACTCACTCACACACTCACACTCTCACGCACACACACTCATACACTCACTCACACACACACACACTCACACACACACTCACTCACACACACTCATACACTCACTCACTCACACACACTCACACACACTCACTCTCACACACTCACACACTCACTCTCACACACTCACTCACACACACTCATACACTCATTCACTCACTCACACACACTCAATCACACACTCACACACACACTCACACACTCACTCACACTCCTTCACTCTTTTACTCCCACTCTTTCACTCACACACTCACACACACCCACACGCCCCCTTATCCCCCCCCCACTCACCACACACCCACACATGATAATGTATGACTCGCCATCACCCCCCAAGACGCCACCTCGCCTCACCCCGTTTGGTTATGGAAATGTGGAGTCAGATCACGTGACCAGCAGGATCAGGGGGTTAATAGTGGGATTATTTTTTAGTGGCGGACTGATACAGTATCTAACTCGAGGCTCATGTCTTCATGTCTCCGGGTGGCGGAGTGATATAGTGCTGGTCTTGCTGTCTAGGGTGTTCCAGGGTGACCGGGGGGGGGGATTTATACCGTATGAAGATGTAAAGCAGAGAGATTAGGAAATGGAACTTTTGTTTTCGTGCGCTGTAAAATATTTTCTTTGCCCAATCTTGTCAACAAGTTGTTCCAAGTGAGCCGCAATTGGCCCTTCAATGAGCCGTGTGGGTTACGGAGCCGCAGGTTGTTATACAGTGAGCCATAATGGCCCATAACGATTTGCTTTTTGATGCAATTAAAACCTTGTAATTATAAAAGATTCAAAACTGTTTTATATCTACTTGTTAGTATTTTGATAAAGACAAATGAAAAAGTCGACACTTAGTGTTAAAAACAGTTTTGTATTTATTTTTTCACGCCGCTGACTCTACACCCCACGTGACCTAGTTCCTAACTCTACACCCTACGTGACCTAGTTCCTGACTCTACACCCCACGTGCCTAGTTCCTGACTCTACACCCTCGTGACCTAGTTCCTGGCTACACCCTCACGACTAAGCATGTTTTCTTACACCCGATACTTTACGTCCTGAGATTTCCTTAACCCTTTTCAACTTGTCTCCCCTTAAGATTTGTAAACATTCGTCGTGAACACCAGATTGAAAGAGCAATGGCAGCTAACTAGTTATCTCCCCTTTTGATATTGAATAATATATTGATCTCAAAATGTATGTATCAAGACTAATCTAAGATCTAATTTTATTGTAATTTAGCTATTCTGAATGTATTATCGGAAATGCAATTTTCGGAAAAGCTAGAAAGAAATCTCTCCAAAATTGAGTTTGTAGAATCGACCAAAATCCTGCCTCAAGACAGAAAACCATCTTGGTGTGACCCTGGCTCCCAACACGACACCCCCTTCCCTCCCCTTCCCCTGTGTCTCATATCTGATGGTCGTGCTGTTTAAAGGTTTGTGAATCCCTGCAGTAGTGTACTTAGACTTTAGAGTGTACGTAATTAATTATTTAATCCCCCCAGTCCGCTAGAATCCAATTATCAAATGCGAGAAGTCTGACATCCAAGGTTTGACTTTTTAAAATGACGACATGGTATTTAAGCCGATTAGATTGATCATTTGAACCAAAGTGTCTTGTCCGGGAATTAGGTCACGTATCAAAGTAATTTCCGGAACGAAAAATGATGCCAACAGATCAAATTATGACGTAGGCGACTGTTGAATATTTCGGCTTTTGTCTGCATCGAGCTTAGTGTTTAAATAAAAAATATTGACTTCAACCTTTTTTTGTGGGACTGTAAAAATAAACTAGTCATCGATATTGCTTCGTTGAGGAGGAGATACGACTTAAAGCCCGGACACACATTCATCCATACATTCATTCATTCATCCATCCATTCCCAGAAATGACGAGTTAATAAACGCAATTCTCCAGAATGGAAATTGCGCTAAAAACTTTGTAGTCTACATATATACAAATATACAAATATATGTATATATATATATATATATATATATATATATATAATATATATATATATATATATATACATATAGTATATATACATATAGTATATACCGAGGCTCCGCCTTATACAATTATCGGTTTATCTAAGAGAACCACTTGCCTACACAGACACTAAAATAATATTTGTGTTTCTCATAAAAAAAAGGTTGGACTAGCGATAGACAAACGGACGGATAAATAAAACCCTAAATAAACTTGGTTAGGTCCCCAGTGAAGGTCTTTCTCCCACACATTGCTTCTATTGAACAATTTCTCCCAACAATAATTCATACTTGAAGACTAGTTTAAGTGTGCTGACTTTAACATAGAAAAGGTTGAGTTTTTTGTGTCTGTCGTTCTGTTTGTAGCGAATCTTGAAACTCAATTCTGACCTACTTCTTAGGTAGCGACTTACAGATACTTTCGTCCCCGATGACAACGCAAAAATATATATAATTTTTTTTTCTGATAAGATATTAAACTAGCCATTAAAATTAATTTAAAGATTATTATAATCACTAACAAAAGTAGAGATAACAAGATTAAGTGCTCACGATAACCCAATCGACCAAAAGACGGTCAGGGGACTATCACGGTTGGTTGGTTCCGTCCATGCCTCGATAAGGGACAGATAACTGTCTTCTAGCGTTGGGATCGCGGCTACTAATTAGGTTTTAAAGCAATT